ACGAACAACCGACTTCCCATCCTCGTCGCCCACGGTGGAACTGACGATGGCAACCTTGGTGCGGTCGGAGAACAAGCGGTTGGCCGACTCCTGCTGCTCATACTGCAGCTTCTGGAACTGCAGCGCTCTCAATTCGCGGTTCATAGCGGACTTGGACTTGTTGAGCAGTTTGAGTTCTTGTGTATCGCCCGTCAACTCCGCCTTCTTGATCAAAGTGACGAGTATCGCTTCCTGCGACTGAAGGTTGGCGATATTGTCACCCAACCGAGCAATCTCATAAGAAAGCTGGAGGTCGCCCGGTGCTGCGAGTTGGAATGAGCCAGATCCCTCGTTGGCTTCTTGTCGGTCCTCATCGACCTCGACCTCGTCAAGGTCACCATCAAACATTGCCCGACGCTTGCCGCCGCTATTGCTGGAGTGAGAGGCCGCGAACATAGTATCTCGATCCCCGAGATCCTCGTCGGTGGGAGGAAGAGCGCGTTCTTGCTCCAACGCCATAATATCGGTCAGAGCCGCCTGGATGGCTTCCATGCGCACCTCCTCTGCTCGTTGCAGGCGATCATCGGGATCGTCAAACAGCGGAGCTCTGGAGTCGTCGGAGGACGTGTCGAAGACGGGCGACATGAGGACTTCGATGTTAGAGGGGCGAGAGTGATGAGACCCAGTCGACCGATGCGATCCACCACTAGCAGTTCTCTGCCGAACATAGTTGGGGGAGGATTCGGAGCGAGGTAGCATGTGCGGGATCGATCCAAAGCTCTGTTTGAGAGGAGACGGTGTACCGACATGAAGGTTCGAGAGACCCGGCGATGTAACGGAGCGCCGGTCTTTGAGCGACGGAGGCGGTTCTGGCGAATTTCTTTGCGCGGAGCGTCCAAAATCTGTGTCCCCAATTGCACGGAACCACAGCTCGGATCGCTCAAAGTCCTCAAAGTCGTGTTCCATGTTTCGCTCCACCTGCCTCTGCGCCAACATGACGCTTCTGCGCACGGTGCGTTGCGTCGCGGGAGACGGTGGCTGTTCGCTCGTTGCAAAGTCCCGAATTCGCTGAATGTGCTTCTTTGGTATCGAGGCAAGTGTGGGATGAGGAGTGGGGGTCGAAAAATAAAGCTCGTAAATCATGGAGATATCCTCCCTCACGGTGACTGAAGTCGAAGCGTCCTGAATAGGTTCGTCTTCGTCGCCAGAAGAACTCGAGTCCACTGACTCTAGCGGATTCTTGAAACTTTCGACGGTTAGCCAAAATTGCACGAGCAGGGACCGATGACGGCGGTCCATGAACTCCATGAAGTACGATAGAGAGCTGGGGTTCTGTAGGACGTCACGCAAAGTCAAACCAGATTTGGGGCCGGGTTCTTGGTAAGACGATTGTCGGCCCTTGAGCACTGTCAACACCATCCTCAAGGAGTACTGCAAAGTCTCTTACCGAGTCGTCTCCTCCCCCGAGTACGACAATCCTTTCCTCGACCTTTCTCTTAGCAGTGTAGAGTCTGTCCAAAAAAGCCACAACGTCTTCGGTCTTTTCTCCATTGATCCAGTCCTCTTTTTCATGATTGGCAAGAGATATTCGAGTCCTCCGGATCTCGCCTACGACGTCGTTCTTCAGCCGACGGGCGTCAAGGAGCGACGAACAACGGTTTATGCTCCGAAGAAAGGACTCGAACTGGCGAGCATCGGTTCGGATTGTTATGGTCTCGGTGGTAGGCAGCGCAGCGACTGGTGCGGATGATAGACGTTGCGGTCGAGGTGACTGAGCCTCGAGAACGTTCCGTACTTTCGTGATCAGTTTCCTGGACACCAGTTAGTTTTTTTTAGATGCCTCTAGAGAGTAACGCACTGTTCGTGTATAGCCGCACCAGCCTGCATTGAAGTGGTTAGACCGTTCATACACCTTTGGTTTGACAACGCACCACTTGGTCGATTGCCTTGTTCCAAAAATCGGGATCCGACACCATTTCCATGACTGGGTATAGTACGGCGCACGCGACAATCTCCCGCACAACCAACTTGAGAACCCTGCTCCTGCCCTCCTTTTCTGGTAAGACGAAAGGGAGCGCCTTTTCCACCAGCTGCCTGAGATGCGCCTCTTCCGTTTGCTTGGTGAAAGTAGTCGACAAGTTGTCGACCGAAGGGTGCAGCTTTCCGCCGCCTTTACTCGTGTATCGACTCGCCAAGAGCAGGTCGAGCTCCTCTGACTGGGTCAACCGTCGCTCCAAGCCTGCACCGCGGAGGGCGACCTCGGACTGGCGAAATTGCTCGATGTGTGCAGTGACCTTGGGGAGGATGCGTTTTACAACGAGCTCCGACAAATCGATTCCGGCAGCCCGATCAAGCACATTCTCGAGTGATTTATGCAGCACCGACGAAACCGCCATGGGGAACGACGGAGACGTCGACAGGTCCTTGTACCATACGAGAACAAAGTCCCGGACAATCATGATAAGGATGTCATTTATTGCACCTGAAAGAACCGGCGCGTTGGGAACTAGGGGTGGAAAGGACTGAGGGCTGTCTTGGGACCACTGGGAGCGCGTCAAGACGGCCTGCCAAGCCGCGGGGCTCGAGAATACAAAGGGCCTGGCCGCATAGTGGAGGTTTTTTCTCGCCGAGGGACCTTTGGCGTCGAGGAGATGGCTTACAAGGACGTTCAGGACCAAAAAAGCTATTCCAAGCAGCCCGAGGACGAACGGCGAGACGAGGAGGAGGGTGAAGGGGTTTGAGACGATGCGGAATATTGCAGGGAGAACGACGGCGAGGACAGCGACAAAGATGACCGTCTGCCCGCTGAACGCCGTGAACAGGCCCATGCGCAATCGTCCCAAGTTTGTCCCAGTCTCAAAAGGGAAGGCGCATCACGAGAGTCCCTTTTTCGGACCGGCCAAGATCGGCCTCGCCTTATTCACCTTACTCTCTGCCTCGACCACGGAATAGAATGGCCTCTCCGGTACCGGTCAAGGGCCGTCCCATTTCGACCGCGGAGGGCTTTGTCTGTGGCGGCATGGCAGCGTCTATCGCTGTGCGTGACTTTTCGGTATCCCGCAAACTTTTAGCTGACGCGGCTCAGGTCACAGTCTCGAACCCTGCTGAAGTCGCCAAGACGCGTTTGCAACTGCAGGGCGAGCTCGCAAAGATTGGCACGGAAAAGGTGTACAAGAACGCCTTGGATGTGATGGCCAAGACGTACAAGAATGAAGGTATTCGAGGGATGCAGAGAGGTCTTGGTCCTGCGGCACGTCGAACTGTTTTCGTGTTTCCGCACCGTTTTCTGATTCTGCATGTAGTACGCGTACCAAGTATGTGCAATTTTTTTCCTTCTCATTTTTAGTGTAACAATCGCTGCAGATACTGTTGAACGGCTCACGACTGGGTGAGTTGGAATTACTCTCTCGCACTCGGCGCGCCCACGTTTTGTTACAGGATTTTACGAACCGTTTCGGCAAAACATTAACAAGTTCATCGGCCGAAGGCCCGATGAACAATTGCCTGTGACCGCAGTCATTGCAGGGGCGACGAGCGGGGCTGTAGGAGGTCAGGATCGCGTCGGATGATCCTTCACGTACTTACCGCTGTTCTGCAGCCTCCCTCGGCAACCCGCTTTTCCTGATCAAGGCCCGAATGCAAGCATACTCTCCCGCTCTGCCCGTCGGTACCCAACATTATTACAAAAATTCTTTTCACGCGCTATCCACGATATTCCGCGCCGAAGGGCTCCGCGGTCTCGTGCGGGGCATAGATGCCGCAATATTGCGAACGTCGATGGGCTCGTCGGTGCAATTACCGAGCTACAACCTCACCAAAAACTTTTTGGTGAGCCGCGATATACTTCCGGCCAACAGCACGTGGACATTCCTGGCCAGCAGCGCCATCTCTGGGGTGTGCGTCGTATGTGGTTTCGATTCCTCGCACGTAACTGTACTCATTTTTCACCTAGTGTATAGCAATGCAACCAGCGGACACTGTGCGTTTGAACAGTTGTTCTTGTCCCTGACTTATCATTCCTCCAGGCATTAACGCGGATGTATAATCAACCAACCGTCCTTGGGCCAAATGGTAAGATGGTTGGGACTCTGTACAAGAACCCAATAGATTGCTTGTGGAAGACGGCCAAGACTGAGGGCGTGCGCGGGTGGTATAAAGGCGAGTTTTGAGCCATCGTTCTTCTAGCTTTAGTCTAACTTTGAGACAGGATCGACGGCACACTTTTTGCGAATCGCACCACACACGTCCGTTTCTCCACTGATTTCTATCGTTCGCTGCTGATTGCTTTACAGTATCATAACGCTAACTGCTAATGACCTTATCATTAATCTATACAAGAAGATACGGGATAATGACTAGTTTCTGAAATAGATTAATTTTGGGACAATCGTTTCGCGTAAGATGGTTCAGCGCGACACCACTCAAAAGGGATATTCGGCTGAGCCGGACGACTTCCAACATCGAAGTAGGTGGCCGCTCTGGGAGCGAGCCGGAGCTGACCGCAGGTCGGCGACGGCTCGCGACATGTTTGAGGCACCGAAAGATTACGAGCGGCGGCGTGATTTAAACTCTAGTCGTCTCTGTTGGTGTGGTAGAGGCCCTGGTGGATTGGACGGTGTTTTGGGGAGCGAGCCGGAGCTGACCGAAGGTCAGCGACGGTTCGCGACCCGCTCGTAGGTCGCAAGTCGTTGTTTTGGGACTTGTGGGTTGGAAAAAAATGTTCTGAAGATGACTGGTAACGGGAAGGACCGATGGGATCAGGCCGGAGGGTATTGACAGGCAGAGAAGGCCGATCGTGGTTGCCTAGTTGGGCAACTCGTCCTAGCGACCTAAAAAGGAAATTCAAGTGAATTTTTGCAAAAACTGAAAATTGGCCAAAAACGATAAAAGTAATCTCTTCCCGGGCTGAGCGGACGACGTTCTGGAAACCATTGAATTTCTGGAATCAGATTCTGTGTCGCTGAGCTACTAGGTGGCCCCGAAAGGGAAATATTGGAAAATGTATCCGAAACTCAAAAAGATGATCTCTGCCCGGATTGAACGGACGACCTTCTGGAGACTCCGTTTTTCTGGAATCAGATGCTCTACCGCTGAGCTAAGAGATCCACGCTGAACTTTCAAGTGATTGCACAAAGTCCACGATAGCAGTTGACCCACCGAGAAAAGGGAAAGAAACATGTCGACGCTTCACTCATTCTGAATGAGAGAAGGACCTTCGGTGTTCAAAATGGCAGGAATCCCTGCGGGAAATCAAACCATGAGTTCACAAAGTATCTTGCTATGTTATCCGACTCCCGGGCTCAGCATTCATGCTCATGATGTGGCATGGACCCAGACTATATTTGTTCAGCTTTCGCTTATTCCATGACCCTCAATAGATTCTCTTCAGTGGTCAATTTGGTTCGCATTGACCCACCAAATCTCATTTGTTGTTTTCTCGCCAAGTTTTTTCCTTAGTTTCCTCTCTCGGTGACCCAAGGCAAAAATATGACGATCCTAATGCAACAAGTGCTGTATATGCGAGTCTACAAGGATTCAAATTTCAAATATCATTCCAGGCAAAGGCTGTCTGTGATTTTCGAGCACGTCGTTTTCGCACTCAGCAGTTCTTTGGTAGGCCACATTGTCTGCCACGATCTAAAAGAAGTTCATGACACAAAAAAGTGCATGGATACTCCAGTGCAATATTTTGGCCGGCACCATGCTTTTTGCGCGCCATGCATTGCTTTTACTGAGTTTGTTGCCCGATTTGGGCTTGGGCGTAGTAGTGTTTGCGTGTGTTAGGTGAAACCCTTCCGTGACGCTTTCGACTTCGGCCGCTTATTCGGTGTCAAATGGCCTGAAATTTGAGTTTTGTTCATCTACATGATGATATATGCTTGCCTCCAAGCGCCCGTGGTCTCCGAGCGTCCTGAATTCCATGGCAAGACTTCGATAGGCCAAACTTTGTATCGTTAATTCACCTTATCCTACGGCTACGCAACATCCACATCGATTCTAGACATGACCCAAGTCTCGACTCTTTTGCAGCACTTTCCACAAAATGGGTGAGGCAGTCGTAATCCCGTGAATTGGAAACATCTGAGCTTTCCAGCGAGTGCCTGAGGATTGTCGGCCAAAGTCAGCACAAGAATTGGGAATGAGATGTGGCCGGCGACTCATATCAGCTAATATATATGTACATCCGCAAATGCTTTGCTCGACAAACCCATGTCTGCTGGCCGCCCGAGGTTTCCCATGGCCCGGAATCCGTAAAACAGTTTCTCCTCTCAATGAATATCATGCTCATGGCTGCCCGGGCCAGGGCTCTCTATCGCTTTTAACTGTCAAGTCACAACGCTCTTCTGTCAAGACTTTTTGTTGGCTCTTATCCCTACAGCTTTGTCATAGGCATTATAGATGACAAGTCGTCATTCTGAAAAATAAACTGAGAGACGACCACGACGTACGGTGGAGAAACAATGTGGATCTTCAGCAAGTCGAGCAAGGAATTGAGGAGTTGCGAGCGGAGGAACGGGCTGCAGGGTATGGGGTCTTCCTCCGCCTCGCCTCTTCAGCTAACCGTCTGATAGGATATTCTGACATAAGCAACGGGACGACCAGCTTTTCGAGACTATTGGTTCTCGTTTATCTCTACCTTGACTTTTGCTTGTTGTCTTTCTATCGGACCTGACCTTCTGGAGGCTACGGGACTCTCCACCAAAGGTTTGTCTGGAAATTCCCTCCATCTTGTTTAAAAAACTTACGTTCGGACAAGGAAATCCCGATCCCGATCTGGTTCAGTACTGAAGGTGACTTTTCGGTATAAAAGCTCAACAACATCAGAACACGTAGCGGCGTCAATTTCGGCGTCGGCGGGAACCGGTTGCGAGCTAGAACACCGCGACGCCCACATCAGCTCGGTACTTTTTCACTACTCAATACTACAACGATGGCCTCGCTGTACGATTTTTACCAGTTCTTCAAACAAGCATACTTTTCCGGGAAACCGGTCTGGCAGACCAGTGATATGCCAGACCTGGCCGGTCAAGTCATTATCGTCACAGGTGGTGCCGCTGGAATTGGGAAAGAAACAGTCAAGGAAGGTCCCTCGTCGTCTGTAAAGGGTCATTATTTATTGTGATTGGCGTAGGCTCTTCTCGAACACAACGCTGTGGTTTATATTGCTGCCCGGAACGAGGCAAAGACAGAGAGGGCCATACAAGATCTCAAAGTGTTGACCGGAAAGACCGCTTCCTCGTTGATTCTTAACTTGGAAGATCTCGGTTCAATTCGGATAGCGGTAGGACGCTTCCTCCAGTAAACTGAATTCCGAATCGTGCATCTGGATCGGATGTTGACGGAGTTTGTTAGGCAGGAAAAACGGCTTGACATTCTATTCAACAATGCGTGAGCTGACTTCGCTGTTACTCACTTGCTCGTTCACATAGTACGTTAGTGGTGTTATGATGCCCCCCGTTGAAGCAACGACCACAAGTGGATATGACCTCTCCTTCGGCACCAACGTCCTTGGTAAGCTGTTTTCAGTGTACTGTTGAATTCACGTTCATTGCGGACTAGGCATTTTTATCTTACCAAGCTCCTGCTTCCTATCCTCATCCAAACTGCGCGGACAACCGGAAGGCCGGCACGTGTTGTCAACACTTCTTCCAGCTCCCACTATCTTGCCATGCATGATTTCAATACCTTCAAGGACGGCCCGGCCCGACGGAAGCTCAACCTTATGCAAATTTACGGTCAAAGTAAATGGGTGAGTTATTTGTTGGTAGGATCAACTTGTTGTTAACTGTTTTAGGCAAATGTTACTTTCTCAAACGAACTAGCGAGACGGTATGGTGACCAGGGCATTGTGTCGTCTTGCATCAACCCAGGTACAGATTTTCTGAATGCACAAATCAAAAATGCTTACTACGTGTCAAGGCAACCTAAAAGACACGGAGTTGTCGCGGCATGTTCATTCTGGGGTCGAAAACTTTCTTCTGGTGGGTTTTAGTTCGTTTGGTCCTTTCACGCACCTCGAGCAACTCCGCAGAAAATATTGCAAATCTATCCTCCTGCATGGGGAGCTCTCCCCCAGCTTTTTGCTGGGACCAGTCCCGAAGGTGTTGATTTCAACGGCAAGGTACAGTAAAAGGTTTTAGCCGGTTATGATCTGACTTGTATATTTCCCAGTTTATTGTTCCATGGGGTCGCCTAGGCCCCGCTAGGAAAGACACCAACGATCCGAAACTCGGTAGGGACCTTTGGGCGTGGTTGGAAGAGCAGGTGCAGGATCTTTAGGACTGGATTCCAATTGAATTAAACCAGTCGTTGAACGATTGTATGAATTTGAGGCGAGGCGTTGCGGCAGACATCCAAAAACCAGCGTGATATTACTTACATCAGTCTGCTCATCGAGCGAAAAACAAGAACAACGACAAATTCAGATCCTTAAAGTACAATCATCGTAAATATATGAGAATTCACGGTTAATGCTCTGCTTCCGTTATGCTTGAGTCGAGGTACAAATTCCACCGGAAACGGTATCACATAGCTGGGAAGTGCCGTTCGAAAGACGACCAACCTAAAAGAAAATAGCCGATTCACTTATTGGTATCTAGAATGAAACAACCATTAATGTCTTAACATAGCGTAGGCAAGTAGAGATCACTTGGACTAAATTGAGGACACAGGATCGGGTTTTTCGGAACTATGTTCAATGTTTGTAGAATGTACGCAATATATATGTTGAGGCTCATTGTTGCATAATGGGTTCCAACGCAAACTCTGTGAGGGTTTTCGTCCGTCATTTCCTTATGAAAGCACTCAGGATCTTAGTATATCTTGTCGTCACGACTTCCCTAGTGTGGAATTTGAACGTGCTCGTTGCGGCGTGAAATAGAAATGACTCAGTACCAAAGGTTGGTAAAAACGGTTGAACGCTTGGGGATATGGTACCCTCCACATCGATATTAGTACTGGATCTGGTTCATTTTTGGTAAGGGATTTTTACCTAGAAATGGTCCATGTCCACCAGTCTAATGAGGCACTCTTTAGCATCAATGGACTCGGTGCTTGGGAGAGACCGCCGTGAAGTAACATACCAAGGGGAATGATTGAATGCCAACGCAGTGTTTCTTGCACAAGTGCGCGGAAATAGGGGACTTCATTGCGGTCCAGCGATGTTGGCAGTCTCGCTGCGACTGTACCGAGGACGGCCAGAACAGGCACGGCAAGTAGAAGAACCGGGGCAGCATAAGAAAAAAGATTAGAATGGGGGTGACTTGTGCGCTTCAAGTTTGAACTCACAAATACCTCTAGGCTTGTTCCAGATGAGCGAAACCATTTTTTTGGGTATGTACACATTTTTTTTCTGCTAGGAGTCGGAGTCAAATACCGTGTGGCTGAATTGCCCGACGAGACAGCGAAGCGCCTGTCGTCGAGACCATTCCAAGAAGTTGGAGCTGGAGTACAGACTCGTTGAGGGTCCAGGCTCAGTCAGTACAGGACCTCTGAATCCGAGTCAAAATGCTGCACTGGCAACGCAGGTATCTGGCTTCAAACCAACTTCAAACACCAGTCGTGGGTGGTGAAGACAACGAGAGGTCGTTGCCCGAGACGCCGATTGCATGCAATTCACCGTCCTAAAAGACTTTCAAGTGCGAACAAAACTCAAATTTCAGGCCATTTGACACCGAATAAGCGGCCGAAGTCGAAAGCGTCACGGAAGGGTTTCACCTAACACACGCAAACACTACTACGCCCAAGCCCAAATCGGGCAACAAACTCAGTAAAAGCAATGCATGGCGCGCAAAAAGCATGGTGCCGGCCAAAATATTGCACTGGAGTATCCATGCACTTTTTTGTGTCATGAACTTCTTTTTAGATCGTGGCAGACAATGTGGCCTACCAAAGAACTGCTGAGTGCGAAAACGACGTGCTCGAAAATCACAGACAGCCTTTGCCTGGAATGATATTTGAAATTTGAATCCTTGTAGACTCGCATATACAGCACTTGTTGCATTAGGATCGTCATATTTTTGCCTTGGGTCACCGAGAGAGGAAACTAAGGAAAAAACTTGGCGAGAAAACAACAAATGAGATTTGGTGGGTCAATGCGAACCAA